AGAGGCCTGACTGCTGGAAGGAAAACTAACAAACACGAATAACATCAACATTAACAAAAAAGATGTCCACACAGAAATGCCATCCAAAGGTAGATAAATCCACAAGGATAAGGAAAAAAACAGCTAAAAGAAAGACTGAAAATTCAAAAAGACCAGAATGCCTCTTCTCCAAAGGATCACAACTCCTCACCAGCAATGGAACAAAACCAGACTGAGAACAAAACACAGCACAAGAAACTCATAAAACACATACAAGTATCAGACTGAGAATGAGTTTGACAAATTGACAGAAGTAAGCTTCAGAAGGTGGGTAATGACAAACTCCTCTGAGCTAAAGGAGCATGTTCTAACTCAATGTAAGGAGGCTAAGAACCTGGAAAATAGGTTAGAAGAAATGCTAACTAAAACAACCTGTTTGGAGAAAAACAAAAATTACCTGATGGAGCTGAGAAAAACACAGCACAAGAAACTCATAAAACACATACAAGTATCAATAGCCAAATTGAGCAAGCAGAATAAAAGATATCAGAGACTGAAGATAAAATAATGCAATAAAGTGTGAAGACAACATTAGAGAAAAAAGAATAAAAAGAAACAAATAAAGCCTCCAAGAAATATGGGACTATGTGAAAAGACCAAACCTGCATTTGACTGGTGTACCTGAAAGTGACAGGGAGAATGGAAGCAAGTTGGAAAACACTCTTCAGCATATTATCCAGGAGAACTTCCCCAACCTAGCAAGGCAAGCCAACATTCAAATTCAGGAAATACAGAGACCACCACAAAGATACTCCTCGAGAAGAGCAACCCCACAACACATAGTTGTCAGACTCACCAAAGTTGAAATGAAGGAAAAACTTTAAGGGCAGTCGTACAGAAAGATCGGTTACTCACAAAGAGATCAGACTAACAGCAGATCTCTCAGCAGAAACCCTACAAGCCAGAAGGAATGGGGCCTAATATTCAACATTCTTAAAGAAAAGAATTTTCAACCCAATATTTCATATCCAGCCAAACTAAGCTTCACAAGCAAAGAAGAAATAAAATCCTTCACAGACAAGCAAATGCTGAGAGACTTTGTCACCACCAGGCCTACCTTACAAGAGCTCCTGAAGGAACCACTACACATGGAAATGAACAATCAGTACCAGCCACTGCAAAAACATCCCAAATTGTAAAGACCATCGACACTATGAAGAAACTGCATCAACCAACCAGCAAAATAACCAGCTAGCATGAGATTGACAGGATCAAATTCACACATAACAATATTAATGTTAAATGTAAATGGACTAAATGCCCCAATTAAAAGACACAGACTCGCAAACTAGACCAAGAGTCAAGACTCATTGCTGTGCTGTATTCAGGAGATCCATTTCACATATAAGGACACACATAGGCTCAAAATAAAGGAATGGAGAAATAGGTACCAAGCAAATGGAAAGGAAAAAAAAGCAGGTGTTACAATCCTACCCTCCGATAAAAGACACTTCAAAGCAACAAAGATCAAAACAGACAAAGAAGGACATTACATAATGGTAAAGGGATCAATGCAACAAGAAAAGCTAACTATTCTAAATATATATGCACCCAATACAGGAGAACCCAGATTCATAAAGCAAGTTCTTAGAGACCTACAAAGAGACTTAGTCTCCCATACAATAATAGTGCGAGAATTTAACACCCCACTGTCAATATTAGACACATCAACGAGACAGAAAATTAACAAGAATATTCAGGATTGAACTCAGCTCTGGAACAAGCAGACCTAACAGACACCTACAAAACTCTCCACCTCAAATCAACATAATATACATTCTTCTCAGCACCACATTGAACTTATTCTAAAATTGACCACATAATTGGAAGTAAAACACTCCTCAGCAAATGCAAAAGAACATAAATCATAACAAACGCTCTCTCAGACCACAGTGCAATCAAATAAGAACTCAAAATTAAGAAACTCTCTCAAAATTGCACAGCTACATAGAAACTGAACAACCTGCTTATGAAAGAATACTGGGTAAATAACAAGTTTAAGACAGAAATAAACAAGTTCTTTGAAACCAATGAGAACAAAGACAATGTACCAGATTCTCGGATACAGCTAAAGGAAGAGTTAGAGGGAAACTTACAGCACTAAATGCCCACAGGAGAAGGCAGGAAAGATCTAAAATCGACATCCTAACATCACAATTAAAGAAAGTAGAGAAGCAAAGCAAACAAATTCAAAAGCTAGGACACAACAAGAAATAACTAAGACCAGAGCAGAGCTCAATAAAATAGTGGTCAAAAAAAGCCAGCAGCACATCAAAAAGCTTACCTAACACGATCAAGTCAGCTTCATCCCTGTGATGCAAGGCTGGTTCAACATACACAAATCAATAAATGTAATCCATCATATAAACAGAACCAATAATAAAAACCACATGATCACCTTAATAGATGCAGAAAAGGCCTTTGATAAAATTCAACACACTGCCATGCTAAAAATGCTCAATAAACTAGGTACTGATTGAACATATCTCAAAATAGTAAGAGCTATTTATGGCAAACCCACAGCCAAGATCATACAAACTGGGCAAAAGCTGGAAGTATTCCCCTTGAAACCTGGCACAAGACAAGGATGTCCTCTCTCACCACCCCTATTCAACATAGTATTGAAAGTTCTGGCCAGGGTAATCAGGCAAGAGAAAGAAATAAAGGGTAACCAATTAGGAATAGAGGAAGTCAAATTGTCTGTTTGCAGATGACATGATTGTATATTTAGAAGACCCCACTGTCTCAGCCCAAAATCTCCTTAAGCTGACATGCAACTGTAGCAAACACTGAGGATACAAAATCAACGTGCAAAAATCACAAGCATTTCTATATACCAATTATAGAGAAACAAAGAGCCAAATCATGAGTGAACGCCCATTCACAATTAATACAAAGAGAATAAAATACCTAAGAATACAACTTACAAGGGATGTGAAGGACCTCTTCAAGGAGAACTACAAACCACTGCTCGAGGAAATAAGAGAAAACACAAATGAATGAAAAAACATATCCATGGCTCATGGGTAGGAAGAATCAATATCGTGAAAATGGCCATATTACCCAAAGTAATTTATAGATTAAATGCTATCCCCAGCATGCTACCATTGACCTTCTCCACAGAATTAGAAAAACTACCTTAAATTTCATATGGAACTAAAAAAGAGCCCACATAGCCAAGACAATCCTAAGCAAAAAGAACAAAGCTGGAGGTATCATGCTACCTGACTTCAAACTGTACTACAAAGCTACAGTAACCAAAACAGCATGGTACGGGTACCAAAACAGACCTATAAACCAAGTGAACAGAACAGAGGCCTCAGAAAAACACCATACATCTACAACCATCTGATCTTTGGCAAACCTGACAAAAACAAGCAATGAAGAAATAAACAGTGTTGGGAAAACTGGCTAGCTATATGCAGAAAACTGAAACTGGACCCCTTCCGTACACCTTATACAAAAAATAACCCAAGATGGATTAAAGACTTAAACGTAAGACCTAAAACCATAAAAGCCCTAGAAGAAAACCTGTATATACCATTCAGGATATAGGCATGAGAAAAGACTTCATGACTAAAACACCAAAAGCAATGGCAACAATAGCCAAAATTGACAAATGAGACCTAATTAAACTAAAGAGCTTCTGCACAGCAAAAGAAACTACCATTGGAATGAACAGGCAACCTACAAAATGGGAGAAAAATTTTGCAATCTATCCATCTGACAAGGGGCTAACATCCAAAATCTACAAAGAACTTAAAACAAATTACAAAAAACAAACAACCACATCAAAAAAGTGGGCAAAGGATATGTAGAGATGCTTCTCAAAAGAAGACATTTATGAGGCCAATAAACATATTAAAAAAGCTGAAAGCTCATCATCACTGGTCATTAGAGAAATGCAAACCAAAATCACAATGAGATACCATTTCGCACCAGTTAGAATGGTGATCATTAAAAAGTCAGGAAACAACGGATGCTGGAGAGGATATGGAGAAACAGGAACGCTTTTACACTGTTGGTGGAAGTGTAAATTAGTTCAACCATTGTGGAAGACAGTGTGGTGATTCCTCAAGGATCTAGAACCAAAAATACCATTTGATCCAGCAATTCCATTACTGGGTATATACCCAAAGGATTATAAATCATTCTAGTATAAAGACACATGCACACATATGTTTATTGCAGCACTGTTTACATTAGCAAAGACTTGGAACAAACCCAAATGCCCATCAATGATAGACTGGGTAAAGAAAATGTGGCACATATACACCATGGAATACTATGCAGCCATAAAAAAGACGAGTTCATGTCTTTGCAGGGACATGGATGAAGCTGGAAACCATCATTCTCAGCAAACTAACACAAGAACAGAAAACCAACCATCACATGTTCTCACTCATAAACTGGAATTGAACAATGAGAACACATGGACACAGGTAGGGGAACATCCCACACCAAGGCCTATCAGGAGGTTGGGCGGGGGGGGGGGGTGCCTACAAGAGGGATAGCATTAGAAGAAATACCTAATGTGGATGGTTGATGGGTGCAACAAACCACCATGGCACATGCATACCTATGTAACAAACCTGTACATTATGCACATGTATTCCAGATCTTAAAACATAGTACAAATATATATATAAATCTATGCCAGCAAACATCTACTACAACATTGAGACCACTTCAAACAAAAATACAATATGAAAGTATTTTTATTAGTGTTTATCATGTCAGTAAAACTATACAACTATACTGATTAATACTGATTAATGAGCCTGTTGTCCTATGTCAATCTGTCTAATGTTAGCTCTAGAATGACTAGAATTCAAACTATGAAATACCCACTGCTAAAAAAAGTTTTTGTCCATTACCTATCATAACACAAGAATACCAATTACTACATAGTTTTCAGCTCCATTGGTTAAACACTGCAAAGGCTTGTCAAACCATTTTACCTGACAGACATATTTGTTCTTCCATTTGCTCAGCACACACTGACTGTTTTGCATCAGCTCCTGAAGTACAACAGAAAAAGAGAGAGTGCAGTTGGCTATACACATTGTCATTATCAGTTAAACTGCCTCTGACTTGCAAGCAAAAAAAGATCAACATGCCACACAAAGACGCAACTGTTTTGGAACTCATCACTGGACAAAAGCAAAGCTATCATCACCATGAGAGTTGATCCTTTATGAAAATTAAAGCTGTTGAAAGATGTTTGAAAAACAGATTTGTTTGTTGCCATTTTTGAAACTTTTTGAAAGATACCTCCAACTCTTTGAGTGAGTCTCGGAGTTTTTCTGGGCGTCTGTTTTTGAGCGTCCAAGGATAATCTCGTGCTGGCAAATAAAACATGTACTACAGTTAGTTAAACAAGATTTTTTAAAAAGGAAATTCTGCTTAGCAGTGTGCCTTAGGAAGATTAAAATAAAACACCTCTATAATTGAGAGGAAGTAGGCTTCATTTCCATCATCAAATGACAGCCTTTTAAAAGGCTTTGTCATAGGAACAGGATTTTTACCACAAAACAATCTCCCTAATCATAGTTTTATGATGACAACCAACAAGGCTTGGAGAATCCCTGGAAAAGTTTGCTAGGCTTTTGAATCTAGTAATTCGTTGTAAATGACGTACTTTTTACCAAGAAAGTAACTTTTTTACGTAAATAATTAAATGTTCAATCCAAAAGAAATTCCAAATTCTCCAAGTAGCCTGTACTCAGACATAAAAAAAATTATCATGAGTAAATGAATATAATGAGCAAAGAAATAAAATGTAAAAATGAAAAAAAATTAAAAATAAAAATTTACATAAAAATATATGAAGTTAAGCATCAAAGCACCACATTTTAAAACTATGGAAAAATCTGAGGGAAATCCAAGTTTTAACGAATAAGGCCTTAATAGTGCTCTTTTTAATTAAGAACAGCTCTTTTTAAAGTATATGCCATAATGATAAGACTTTGTTTTGTTTTAAATAAATTTAATTAAAAGATAAAATGATTTAGTAGAGTCATGTTAGCTTAAAATAAATTAAAAATAGTTCTGTTTAAAATAATTTAAAAATGTTAAACTCATATCTATTTCATCAGAAAAATGAATTCATCTTTGGATTCTCCTAATTAATAATTCTAAATAACAGTTGTAAGTATATTTGTGCATATGTATGTGTTGTATGTGCCTATACATATATATAGTACACATAGATACTTAAATTTGAGAGTAGAATTGCTATACATCTTATTTCAACAAATGAACTTGGTCTATAAACAATTTTGATGTGTAGAATGTAAGTGCAAATTTTTAAATCTGTGTTGCAGCTACTAACACAGTATTTTTCAAAATTAAATGTCAGTTCAATCATTTAAAAAACAGGAAAACAAGCCAGGTGCAGTGGCTCATGCCTGTAATCCCAGCACTTTAGGAGGCAGAGGCGGGCAGATCACCTGAGGTCAGGAGTTCGAGACCAGCCTGATCAAAATGGAGAAACCCTGCCTCTACTAACAATACAAAATTGGCCGGGCATGGTGGCACATGTCTGCAATCCCCGCTACTCAGGAAGCTGAGGCAGGAGAATCACTTGAATCTGGGAAGCAGAGGTTTCAGTGAGTCAAGATTGCACTATTGCACTCCAGCCTGGGCAATAAGAGCGAAACTCCCTCTCAAAAAAAAAAAAAAAAAAACCCACACAAGGGAACAAATGGGATTTTCACCTCTAGCTACAGTCCATAAAAATCTTAATGTATGTTTAATTTTAAGTCATTAAAACCATATTACCTCGTAGTCATAATATACATATATACACTTATATACTGGAGATCAGAAAAGACTAGAGTGAATAAAATGCTAATACTGATATTAGAAATATTTTCTTAAAAATGGGTAAGAAGGCTGGGCGCGGTGGCTCAAGCCTGTAATCCCCGCACTTTGGGAGGCCGAGGCGGGTGGATCACGAGGTCAACAGATAGAGACCATCTTGGTCAACATGGTGAAACCCCGTCTCTACTAAAATTACAAAAAAATTAGCTGGGCATGGTGGTGCGTGCCTGTAATCCCAGCTGCTCGGGAGGCTGAGGCAGGAGAATTGCCTGAACCCAGGGGGCGGAGGTTGCGGTGAGCCGAGATCACGCCATTGCACTCCAGCCTGGGTAGCAAGAGCGAAACTCCGTCTCAAAAAAAAAAAAAAAAAAAAAAAAAAAAATGGGTAAGAAATGTTAACAATGTTGGCAAAGTATTAATAATTAAATGTTTAATTTAAGCTTGGTACAATTATCTTAAATCTACTAAATAACATATAGCTCATTAAGAAAGTTTATGTTTACATAAACATACATTTTGTAAAGGCCTGACGAATACAATTGTTAGTCATAATTCCTAAGCAATGGGAATTTGTAATTATAAGAAATTTGGAGGGAATAATGTTTCCTATTTGTTCCAGATGAATATTTTATAATACTGAACTTTTCAGTTTTATAGTTCCAAAAAAATATAAAGTAGGCTTACACTCTGCCAGCTTCTGCTTTTCTTCTAAGTTACCATACTCTGTCACGGATATTGTGGCAGAAGGGATAGAAAGAAAAAACAAAAGTAGAATTTATTTTTATTATAATGCCTTGTATTTTCATATGTACACATATATTATTAACATTACATGTATTACTGAAATAAATTATGCTAAGGTTCTTAAAGGACAGTTGAAAAACATGCCATAATTTGGATGTTTTCATTTCATAGAGATAATTCCTATATTTGTAGTGAAAGGGCACAACAGGTGGAGCAATATCCTGAGCTTCCACTCTCATCAGATAGGAAAGTGCAACAGAGCCCAGAACAGAAGCTGCTTCAGTCTGTCATCAGAACCGTGAAGTCAGCCTATTAACCACTAAGCAAAGCACACAGGATGCTCACACAGCCCACTTCAACAGAGACCAAAACAGGAAGTAACTCTAGCTAGAAAGACCTTTTGGCCCATCATAAAACTTCAGGGATTAACAGGATTAATCAGATAAGGAAAATTGATCATTCACTCAGAAATGCCTATTTCAGATATTAGGTGAGGATCCAGGAGGCCAGCATCAGTAGGACCTATGCATTAACAATGCCCTCTACTGGGACACCGATAAATACACGTGAATAGACTGCCCTGTTATCAGTCTGATCAAGAGTAAAATGAAAGTTTTCATCCTTCTACAGCATTTTCTCGATATTACTTTATTTTATATAGAACAGATCAATATCAACCTCAGCATTTTTCTAAAGAACTGAAGGGACTTTTCTTAAAATTCTAGAATTTATCTAAAGCTCATAAGAAGAGGGTTTTTAATGGTCAGTACTTCATGGTTTATAATATTTAGTTAATAAAAACTAATTGCACAGAATATGTACTTTACCTGGTGGATCTTTCTTGTCATAATACTGGTAGATCCCAATGTCTCTATCTATAGAAAGGAAGAAATAACATTAAATTGTGGTTTAAAAGTCCCAGAGAATAAAAAACCAAGCCATACTATACTGGAGAAAGGGTAGGGAAAAAAGCAGAAAACAGTCTCCTTATGTTTGTTACTAGAAATAAAATGGCTCAAAGCATCTGGAGATAAGTTCATATACTCTAGGGATATGCAGAAACTGGAAAGTCTATCAATCTAATGAGAAAAGATTTATACAAAACTAGAATGGCATGAGAAAAAAGATTAGTAAAGAACTGAAATCAAGAAAGACCAAGTTTTCTCTTTCACACTTCCTCTGATATTTTTCACAGGGCGCTACCAAAAGGAACTGCCACTAAGCAATGCCAAATGAAATCAGTGCATGGAAGAAAATGCCCTGTTGGATTCTGAGTTGTGGTTTTCTTTTCTCCAATTCAGCTCAAGAGTCTAGTCCCTATCCTATGGCATTTGGGAGAAATCTGCAGAAGAGAAAGGGAATATTAGAGGAAGCTTTGGATAAATTATTATCTGAAACTTGTTTAGACTGGGAAAACCCCTTCTAAACCTGCTCAAATTCGGACACTTTGCTGGGGCTACCTAAGAAGCAAAGCTGGCTTCTCAGATGTCAGGATTCATTTAATCAAGAAAGTATTGCAATTTAAATATAAAAGAACAAAATAATTTTGTCCATTTTCTTCATATCTATGAATAATAAAGTATTTCTTTCATTGAAGGAACGTTTGTTTTCTTCCATGCAAAATAATTCTCAGTTACTAACATAAGGATAAGGAGTATACAACTGTTTGCAAAGAGGTGAAAGCAGTACAGGCTGCCCCCTAGTGACTGACTGCCCTAAACTTTCTCAAACTGAATAAAACCAAAAAAAAGTATTACTGCTACAATGAACTTTTCCAATATAGTCTTTCGAAATAGTTAATTGTGTGTACTTGTTGAAGCTCTATTTTATTCATCATGCCATTTGTAGAGGCATACAATTTTAAAGAATGCAGTTTATGTCTCTAGACTAAATAACATCTAATAAGGATTGATTGGGAAAAATCATGAGTAGAACTTCTTGGATACTGATATTTTATTTGTTATCCTGGGTGGTAATTTTATGGGTGTTTTCACATTCTGACAGTTCACAACATAATCTTATAATCTCTACATTTTTCAGTACATACACTATACTTCAGTAAAAAGGCTTTTTTAATCTATTGATAATTGATAATATACAATAAGATATTTAAAGTGTGATGAGGAATGGGATATTTACATAATTTCAAGGTACGTCCCTACGAAATACTTAGTAATAACAAAGAAGAAATTAACTTTGCAGTGGAGAAGCCTAGCAGACACTATCAGTATCATCAGGAAAGGGACAAACTGAAATTATGTACCACCTGATAGGATGCATTGAGAATACAGCATCATTTGTGAGATATTTCCATCAAAAATGCATAACCTGAATCTAATTATGAGGAAATTTCAATATAACCAAACTTAGGAACATCCTACACAAAAACTGGCCTAGTACCTTCAAAAATATTAAGGTAATGAAACTTAAAAAAAGAAAAAGGATGACGGATGACAAGAATGAAGGACACTAAAGAAACATGGTAACAATACAATGTGTTACTGTGAACAAAATCCTTTTCCAAAAAAAGAACAAAGATGGGACAACTGGTGAACTGGTCCATTTAGATTGAAGTACATCATTGTTAATTTCCTAATATTGACGGCTATACAGTAATGCAGGACAAAATTCTTTTTGTAAGACATACACACGAATATATTTGGAGGTGATCAAGCATCAGACTACAACTTACTCTCAAATGTTCCAAGAAAAAAAGATTCTCTGTATTGACAATTTTTCTGTAAGTTTGTGATTATATCAAACATTTTAAAAATAAACATCAAGGATAATGAAAGCACATTAATAGGGTTACTAATTTAGTACAGATAGCAGGAACGGCTTCTCTAAGTGACTTAATAAAGCTGAGTCCTAAAGAAGTAGGATTCATAAAAGGTTAAACAGAAGAATGTCCCAATAGAGAGGCACTGCAAAAATGCAGTTGGGGTTAAAGACTATTTCCATGGAGCTACTATGCACCACTGTGTGATTCTTCTCTAAAACCATTCAGTGCCTCAGAATAGAAGAAACAGGGTTGGAAAACTTTAGGACTGATGGAAGGGCAGGAAAGGAGTTTGCTGGGCATGAACAGAAGATAAGGGGTAAAAGGGGATCAAGATGGAACAGCTCAGACTTCCAACCATGGGGTCCAAGCTGGGTAGGAAGATAAATTAAGAAGGCCCAATGGACTAGGAGAATATCAAGGGATTAAAAGATTAATGGTCTCAAAGAAGCATAAAACCTAGATATATGAGAATAAGGGAATAAGATGAAAAATGGGCAATTATGATTAGAGAAGAAAATATTTAAAGATTTCCACCAGTGGTAAAATTTCTTTTTTCTATTTTCTGAGGAGATTTCTTTTACACTTTGAGTTTTGAATTTTTTTCTGTAACACATTTTTACTTTTCAAGAGATCTGTATAACTTCAAATGTTTTCTGAAGCTTATGTTTTTGTTTCTTGTTTCATGGATTTTAGTATGTTTTCTTAGGTCTCTGTTGTACTTTTTTTCTCCCTTCCTACATTATCTCTATTTCTTCAGAAATCCATTCATCTTTTTACTTTGTTTTCTTTCCTGTTGAAGATATTCCTCAAATATCTGGTGATCCTTAGTTCTCTGAATTTACAAGTAAGGCACTAAAAAGCTGACTGGAAGCCCTGTGTACACAAATAGAGCTTGCCAACTGGTGGGCTTCACTGATCAGCCAAGGATCGAAGTATTTCACCAAAGGACTCCCTCCAATGTCTATGTATATAAGCCTTCTTTCTAGGGTCATGCAATCCTTCCAGAGAGGAGTATCTCAAGCTCCTTCTTTCTTGCAAAGTGTACAAATGGGTATGATATTCTCCGAACAAAGTGGGATTAAGAAGACATTACCCATCAGTATGTAGGCTTCCTTCCATTTCATGCCTGTTTTCAGTTCAGCATGTCTTCTCTCACTGGCCCTGGTGTTCCCAACTTTAGAGCCTCCTTAATTTAATATTTCCACAGCATGAAAGGTATCTCACAACTTCTTTTGCAAACTTTCATCTCCCTTTAACATCAGTCTCATGACACATACCATCTTCTACAATATCTGGCTCCTAAAATTTCTGTATCTTTCCAGAATTTTGAGTCATAAATTGGCTATCATTGGAACTCTCCTCTGCAGGCAATTTATATTCAGGTTTTTCAGCTCTACTAATTCCTCTTTTCCTCCCATCTTCTAAAATTTGTCCAATTTCAGTTGTCCCCTCTCCCAGAAGGGTTTATGCCTTCCTTATTTTTATTCCTTTATTGTCATTTTAGAAGAATTTTAACAGGAAGCAAATGAATGTTAAATCTACTTTGTTTAATTGAAATTTCAATCTTAATACATTTTAAAATAGATAAATGATGAAAATATCACAGTCATCCTTAATTCTATATTTGATATGGAAAAACGATATTTTGTAAGGTAAACCATTTTCTTTGTAATGATGCCTAAGAAATATAAATAATTTTGTCCTCCTAAATACAAGTGTTACTTTGTATAATAAAGATTTTTTAAAAGATATTTTCTATAAAATATATTATATCCTATGTTAATAAGCATTATTAAAACACACATATAATCCTCCCCCCAAAAAATGTGAACATGAAAATAACTGTACATCTTAGCTATATGTTTGAAATGTTATTTTAAATCAAATAGAAATGTCTTTACCATTAGCTATCCTGTACATATTTATGAATGTTATTATGAACAATCCCAGAAAAAAATTGAACATGTGTGTATCATGAGGGATCAAACATTAAGCCAATAAAATTAATTTTCAAAAATAAAAACCTAACTCAAGCTGTAAATATTAAGTTAGTAAGAGTAATTAAAAGGAATTATTTCCCATTAACCAATTTTTCATTAAGAATAAAGAAAGAATGCAACTCCAGCTGGAGAATTCAGGCTCTAACCTTTGCTAATACTTATTTATAATGGTGTAACATATTTGAAAAATATTGAAATTAATCCAGAGCTCATTTACCCGCAATGTGTAAGGTATTCTTCAAAGACCACAGGTGCAGTTCAGTCAAGCAGAAAGACATCTGACGGCAGAAGGAATCTCTGTCCTGTTAAAAAAAATAATTAAAAATAGGTGCCAATTAATTATCTTCTATTGTCAATAAAACCAAGATACCTTAGAAAGAGTAAAAAGAATCATTTGCCACAACTGTTATTTGAAATATGGTACATTAGAATAAACATGCTCTAGTGTATCCTTGGTTAACCATCCAGAAATAAACTCTAGAAAAAGGAAAAATACACTTCTTTTCCTGGATTTAGTATGTCATCACATTGAGAAAATGTGGTAAGAAGAATATATATAGTATTTAGGTTTTCAATAGCATATGTTTGGTTAAGACTCTGAGTATATTTAGAATTATTTAGTATTTAAGCATTTTTTAAAGTTTTATTTTTAAGGAAAGGAAACATCTGTTAGGTAGTTATTAAGTACGAGCACATTTTGTGGGGCATTTTTTGGTATGTAAAGCAAATATTTACAATATCCCACATACAAACAGGCTAATTAAAGTGGAATTTGCAAGGTAAATGGTATATACTTACTATTATAAGAAATACAATTACTTAAAAGTGAACTCTGAAACCACATTAGCATTCAGTTTAATTTGTTAATCTGCATGTCACAATGGATCCATATTATCCTATTCTGTAGGGGTTTTTTGAAAAAACAAGATAGTAATAATATACATCCTGTATTTCCTCTCATTTTAATGGCAAGGGCTAGGGATGGACACTATCTATACTTTTTTTTTTAATCAAGTACTACCTCATCAATTTAGACTGATTGGGAGAAGGCTAGTCTGCATTAGAAAATAGGTCAACATTTTACAAATGTTTGAAAGGAATTTATATAATTTTCAAATGTATCCCTGGAAATATATATAGTACTATACTGTATTTATGTTATACTACATATTAGAAATACCCACAATAATTTAAACTATGGACACTTTCTTTATAAAAATCATAAAAGAAATGTTCTTTCCAGTAAACTTCTGAATGATGAAGTTTGAAAAATGTTTTAATACATGTTTTAATGGAGGAAAATTCATTCAGTTTCTTTAACATTAGGAGTGACTAAAAATATTTCCCATAGTATCCATATGGGTGATAATCCAAAATAATTTCAGACATAGTACAAACTGCCTTGCCCCTTCCTTCATCCTTACATATGACCTCAATGCACTTACAATCAAGGAACAGATGCATGTTCAACTAATGAGATACAGTATGCTAGGGATTGGAATGGCAGAGAGAAAAATGTGGCAGCACAGAAGAGAGGCCCAATGCTGCCTTATCAGCTGGGCTATCAGAAGGCTCAGAGAAGTTGTGAAATGTTAGTGGGCCCTCAAAGAAGGAAAGGATTTCACCAGTTGATGATGATGATGATGATGATGATGACGATGATGATGATGATGATGATGACGATGACGATGACAACGACAACGACCAAGAGGATGGAGATAAAGAAGAGGAAGAAAACGATGGTGATAACAACAGATAACCTATACGTGTTCTAAACATTTTACATGTATTAACTCTCCTAATTCTCATAGCTATTCTTTGAGGTAGTATCATCAGTATTCCTATAATGAGGAAACTGAGGCACAGAGCGGTCACATAGCTAGCAGGTGGTGGAGGTAGGCTTTGGATCTACACAGACTACTTCCAGAGTCTGTTTGCAATCACAGTACTGTATTGTACTGGGGTAGACAGAGTTGTGGGAGAGAGTATATTTGGTGGTTTGAGTAAAAAGATGGCATGACCCAAGGTTGACAGTAGCTTAAAATGCACAGTGGATAGTGACAGAAAGGTGAAGTTGGAAAGGGTAAGGAGGAAACAGGCTATAATAGTAAATTTGGAGTTGATCCGAATTTACTTTCTTCCTTATATTAAATGCCTTTAAAGGTAAGAGATGAAATAAAAACCCCCTCAATCCCCAGATCTGCCCTACTGTACCTAGATGCTGGCTTCCATTACATACAGGTACGGAGTTCGAAAGCTAGTGGACTGCATTACTAAGAGAGAGACTGCAGTTCATTATCAGCAAACAGTAGAGAAAAAATGGATATTAAACTAGTTACTAATTCTTCAGTTAAACTGAGTATTACCTTTCAGAGTTATCACTTTGGAAGTGACTCTAGTGAGCCTACTATTACTCAAAATGTTTCCAAAGCAGTGTTCTTTGGAATCGCTTTCAGTTAGTTTTATGAGGCTTATTTTACAATTGTCATGTTACAGTTAAGCTTTTTCTTAACTAAAATACTTACTGTATTACAATAAGTAAACTGCAGCCTTCTCATTTGGAAATGTGAAGACTGGAATGTTTGTTTTAAAATACCAGTTAATGAATTAAATATTTATTTTGCATCTATTTAGCTTAATGTGTGGAATCTGCCTGCCTGTTTTCTTATTCTAATTTCTCAGCTTAGTAGCTAACTTAAACAAATTATCTAACTTCTCTATTTCTAAGATTCCCCCACCTATAAAATGGGTATAATAAAGTACCTACATCAGGACTGCTTTCAGGATACATTTACTCAATTATCTTAACACTGCAGTTGCTGCTTGCTGTTACCAGTGTATCTATCACTATACAAATTTCTATGGAAAAAAAACATATGATCTCTGACCTTATTTGGTAATCTCACAATATGAAATAAGTAAGTACTAAGCACAATAAATGGTTTATGAAGGAAAAACATTCAGATGTGGAGAAGTTACTACATAAGAGAAGGTATTCAAATTAGGACATGCAAATGGGTTAATATTTCACTGCAAGAAAAAAAGAAAAGATATGGTAAAGCAGGTACATACTTCCTCCAACACTGAGCATCTAAAGTTACCAACTTCTAGACTATACTAGAAAAATACAAATCATATTCCTCAATTTAGTTTTTATTCAGATACCAGTAATACTAATTTATGATAACTGCATAAGACAAGGTTGAAGTTTAGCTGTTTGTTGCTATAGAAAAATGTCTTATCATGTAAATTAAATATAGATGAAATTTTACAGAAGAAACCAAAAGACTGCACCTTTACTTACATATCAAAAGAAGACAACAGTTGAAATTCTATATTTCAGTTTGAGTCAATTTTATAATAATCTGTCAAAACTTTCTCCTGATAACAGAAACAGAAATAGAGAGTGGAGTATAGTTTTCATTATAATCTATACTGGCTATTTCTAAGAGGTAGAAAAACACCTTTTACTTGAAAAACTGATAGGTCCACTCCCCCATATCTTCACTAAGTTTGGAAGTCCTAAATTAATTTTTAAAAATTATACTGTTTCAAGGAGAATAAGTAAAATGAGCTCTGTGAAGAACTTCAAAGCCAAGAGTCAAGCCATTAATTCTCTGGGTTTGGACACGGGAAATTCTGAACATAGTACAGTATAGAGTCTATGACCTGGACTTCTCTTCCAGCTCCATACCCAATGATCCATTTCTAGGTCCAATGGTGGTGGGAGGACTGAGAAAAATGTACAAGATATTTCTCAAAATGCTCTGATGTACAAACAACACTGCTCTAGTTTCCCATTAAAAATCAGAGAACAAAAGAAAACAAAAGAAAAAGACATTCTCCTCCTACTTTATAAAGCACCCCTTTGTGGCCCCACAGGGAACCTATCATATAAGAATGGGGAACCAGGCCGGGCAGGTGGCTTACACCTGTAATCCCAGCACTTCAGGAGGCAGAGGTGGGCGGCTCACTTGAGGCCAGGAGTTCGAGACTAGCCTGGCCAACATGGCAAAACCCTATCTCTACTAAAAATAAAAAAAAAATTAGCTGGGCATGGTGGCACACGCCTGTAATCTCAGCTACTTGAGAGGCGGAGGCAGAGGTTGCAGTGAGTCAAGATCATGCCACTGTACTCCAACCTGGGCGAGAGAGTACGATTCCATCTCAAAAAAAACAAAAAACAAAAAACAAAAACAAAAGAAGAAGTGGTATGCAGCAGAAAATATGCAGGAATGGTAAAAGTGGTGATATCCAGACAAAGCAGGATCTGTATCCAGCAAACGCAGACATGCAGTCAAGGAGTGGCCTGCATCATCTGAAGAAATAGCAGCAATAATTTGCAAGTAATGGGTCCAGCAATGAGAATAAAATGACCAGTGTCCTTTAGTAGATGACTGAACTGGTTTATTAACAAAATGTCACAACTCTTGTAGATTAAGGAGGGGGCTTTGCAAGTGGTCATGCATTAGCGCGGTGGGGGGAAAGATAGTCAAATGTAGGTTATTCATCCTTCTTTTTTTTCTTAACTTCAAATATTTGCCAGGAAGACCATGTAAAACTAAAGAAAATTGATGGAGTAAATAAAACAAGTTTGTAGAAATCTATAATAATAACTAGATGGGCAAGGTGGGAGAGGACCATATCAATACCCTTGTTAGTCTTAAAGCTTTATACGCCATGCACGTTTTTTGAAAGACACAAGTTTTTTAAAGACTTCTAAACATCTTGAATCTCATTCAACTGTGCCACTAGTTAAAAAGAATGCTGGTAATTTCCTGGTTTGAAAAATCTGCCTGGAGGAAGTAGTCAAGACTGAGCTTGTATTATTCAAATATTGTATTTGTGCATAAATAGCTGTTTTGAAGGAGACAAGAAAATAATTTCAGAAGAATGCTGGGTTCCGCATTTTCAGAACGGGGTGTGTGTAGGGGTACCTATCAAAGTAAGGTAAGCAATGCTGCCCCACGTGACCTTGTACGTTTCTCTGAGCAGTAAAACCCAATGCACATGGCATAGAACTGTAATAAAAGTAACTGTACAGGGAGAAATGAAAGAACAAATGAATAAAATATAGAGCAAATTGTCCAACTATTAAATATTGAATCGGAAAAAGAATTATCCAAATGAAAAGAACAGTAGAATGAAAAACCTAAACAAAAAAGTCACCTGTAATGTAACTTCATTTATTTTTAAACACCTTTTCAACTTTTACAGTTTTTTCTTTAATTATACAAGGTAGTTGATGACAGTCTCAGAAGGCCATTTTGGATCCAAGCTTCCTACATGAGACAATAAACAG